TTTATTAGTGGGAAAGATTGACTGAGGAGTCTATCTCAGCCCCAACTTACATGTTTTTTCCAACCCACATGTCAATCAAAAAGTAAAACAAAAATAAAAGATAGAAAGAGTTTACTTTTTGAAGAATAGTACACCTTTCTTGCATGAAAATTTTTAAATAAACTTAAAACCTTGTCAAAATAAATTATTATCATTGAACAGTTAGTGAATTCCAATAAATACTGAAATCTACGGTTAAATCAATGATAAATAAAACAATCATATCACCAAATCAAAATTTTAAATAAATTTTTTAAGTTTGTGTAACATTGCTTTTCATGCATGCATGAAAACACTTATTGGGTAGCATAATAAAAAATATAAAATTTAAATGCCTAGTTTGATGGATCATTAATAACTTTAATCAAGTGTAACTTCAATTTTAAAAGATATAATTTAACTTTTAAAAATAATAAATTTTGATACAGTACCATTTTTCTTCTTTTTTTTTTGTATATTACAGTGATATACTATTGCTTTTAAGCTGTAAAAAAATAATTTTTTAATGTTAAGTTAAAAGTTACAATTTATAAAGGTCATGATTGATCATAGAATATTGAGATCGATACTAAACTTATAACTTTCAAAAGATAAGTTACAAATTTTAAATACCGACTTACAACTCATAGGAGAAAAGTTATAACTGTTGAAGGAAATTTCGTGATCAATCAAGAGTGTCTTTAATCGATCATGATCTTCCTTTCAATAGTTATAACTTTTTCTTTCAAATATTTAATTTTATCATAAAAAAATTATAATTGATGATATAGTATCAAATTTATTTATTTATTTTTTTGATACCATAGCTTTTCCCTTTTTATAAAGGTTGCAAAAAGAAAGAGGTATTCTAAGCCAAGAATGGCCTCTTAGCTGGGCATGGGGTGTGTCAGTTAGGCAGCAGTTTACATACAGTAGTGATTACAACTGTAGGTCATATCCAGTTGTGTCCGTCTACTTGATAATGTGATATTCAGTTAAACCGTGTGCTGCCCGTTTCCGCGTGCTGATCTTATCATCAGTTTCCACTGCGGCCAGCTAAAAACATCTTTCGCTTTCTGATAAAGTTTAAAGCACGCATTATCTCTCTCTCTCCACCCGACCCGATTGCTGTCCACCACATTAAAGAAAGTTGAGATTTTTTTCACGTTAGAACTATTCACTTTTGAATCACTGGTGTATTTGTCAGTTTTGACCAATTTCTCAAACTAAGATTCCATTAGCTTTCAACGGAACCTTGGTCGTTTAGATTTATAAAAATGGAATTTAACATCGAATCAGATTCATACTTATATTTAGTATATAATATATACATATATGAGATCTACGAATATATTATAATTATTAATAATTATTTGTCTTATAAATAATTATTTTATGTTTAATTAATTTAATTTATACTCATGTTAAGAGATATAATTTTTTTTTGCATCATTAACTCCTTAATTCATTTTCTCAAACCTACCCATCTCCTAAGTTTGACAAAATCGATGATCATAAATTTAATATTTATGCCAATTGCGGGCCATATTTGAAAACCCAAGATTAAATTTTCAATCTAAACATAATATTTGAGAATGTTTAAACTATTTTTTCCAAATCCACGTTGACAAGCCCCCCCTCCCTAACATGAGTAATGCTTTTGAGATATAATTTATGGATATAATGAGTTGTTACAAATGATATGATAATGAATTCATTAATACTACAATAGGGCCCATCATTAAATACATTTCACTATCATTTCATTGGTGACAACGCTTTATATCTTTAAATTATGTCTCAATAGCATTAGTGCCTCCAACATACTCCCTTACCAAATAACCTCAGGTCCTTATCTCACTGTACAGGGAAAGACAGACCTCCTTGGAGATTGCAATACTGGTGGAGGATACAGATTACTCTCATGTAACTTAGGTCTTATGTTGGCCTACAACCCTCGCTCAGGTAACAGGGGCAGCCCATTGGGTGTCTAAAACAAGGATGTCTCTTCTATTATCAGATAGTTGGATCTCGGATCAACCTGCAGATCTGATGTGTATTTTGTCCAATGATTGTAATTATGATTTTGTTTTATAATGAAATTTTCTACATTTCAAGTTTAAAAAAATAATAATAAATTGAACGCACTAGTCATAATATTTTCATCTTCGTTTAGGAAAAAAAATAGTAGTACCATATACTAAAAATTTATTAAATCATAAAATAGCAAAACTAAGTGAAAAAAAATCTCATTTTAGAATGATTCATGTCAATAGATCTGGTCATGTTAGGGGATTCTCTCTCAAAATTAGGCCTAGGGTTCGGTTCAATGTCATCTGATTGGAAAAATCTATTGGAATTAAAGAAATTTTAAATTTCCTAGTCAAAAAATGATCACAATAAACTCTAGTGCATGTCAAAGAGTCACAAGTTGTGTAATCAAATAATAGAACACCACTAATCCCATTCATGAATCACCCATACACTTAGTTTGTGTCTTAGTAAGAGCATTTTTCATGTTTGTTTAGTCGTATAAAGTTATGTCATTAACAATGTTTTACAAAAAATTTATATGTACAACAACGACATCAAACTCGACAGTCTTTATTATAAGATATTTCTTACAATCTGCAGCGACGAGAGTCTCATGCGTTGAGTTGTAAACCAAGAAAATTTTGTGTTTACAACTTTAGTTGTATGCTTGATGGGAAGCCAATTACATTCACACTATTTGGGGGCTAACTTCCTCAACCTTTCGATAAATTTACCAGGAAATTTACAAGGAAGCCTCTTGTAGTTAATCCTCAAACTTAAAAAAAAAAATGTTGTCTTGTTTGTTTTACCTACCATATAAAGTAATGAAAAAAAATAAAAGAAAAGGTTGGTTTCTCTGTTTTACCCACCAAAGATAATAATAATAATAAAAAAGTTGGCTTCTCTGCAATTACCAGCCGCAATCACCATTAGATGCGTAGGTGAAAGATCAAACTGCAAAATTTCGGAGAAATTCATGTGAGACATCATAAAGCTTTTATATGTTACAGCTATTTGTTCCACCATAGTAGGGTGACAATATTTTTTGGCAGGGATAGTGACAAATGATGTTAATGATTTAGGTAAGATTTCTAAATTTTTAACACACTTGACCTATGTATTATACAAACACGAAAATGACCCGTAAAATCAATCAACACTAATTTTAATACATCGATCTAACATGAATTTGATACGATCCGATCTAATTGTTATTCTATGTGACAGTGCTATGATACCAATGATAATGAATTAAGAAAAATTATTAATCAAAGGGGGAGAATATAGGTCACTTGAATTATGTTTTTCCGAATAAACAATAGATCTTTGAAAAAATTGAACACAGAGAGAGTTTATTTTTTTTATTTCTCTGATGAAGATTTTCTACCTTGAAACAACAAAAGTGTTACTATAATTTCTCCTAAAAATTGATTCCCATGCTAACAAGGCATTGAAATAAATGTAACACATGAAGATTTTTTCCTCCTCTAGAAGTTTATTTCTAAAGGAACAATATTCTAAGTATATATAGTCCGGAAAGGGTTCAAAGAAAAGACTTGACCCTTTATCTAGAAGGAGTGAATTTTGGGCTTAGCGAAAGTAATTTAAATTTGTAATTCAAATTTTTATATTAAATGAAGGGAAATCATTGGATGGGTGGATCTCATCAACTTTTTAAAATGGGGCTCACTGATTCAATAATCCTATTTTATTTATAATACAAATTTAAATTTTAGATTTGAGTTACATAGTATTGCTTTTATATATTTTTTCATATCTTAAGTTTTTTTTGCTCTAACATATTTGGTAATTAAAAGAGTCTGTCATAATCATCGTTATCGTTGTTTTTTAGGGAATATGTTCTTCAATTAATTTTGAGTTACGATAGTTAGTTCAGAGTTTGAAAAAATAGTCGGCGTAAATCTGAACTCTTGAAACAAAAAAATAAAAATAAAAAATTCATTTGTATTCCATTTACTGTCACTCACGTTAACATTGAACTATCATCGTGATGATCCAACATTTTGAAAATATAAATTAGGGCATACAACTGGTCATGCCATATAGCATTCATATTGTTGTTATGTTGTATCTTGTCAGTGTTTATGTAACTCATACTTAACTTATTTATAATCATATATTGTTGTGTTTGTATCGTGCATGCCGAATTCATATTATGCAAAACCATGTTATTTATAATCATATTTGAGGGGATAGAGTAAATAATATTACAAAGTGATGAATTTTTCAAACTTGTAATTTTTAAAAGGTCATGGACCCCTCATCTCAACATTAAAATAGGCTATTATCACTTAATCCAATTTACGTTCATATTTTTTAAAATTAAAAATTAACTTAATAAATACAATAATAAAAAAATAAAAATATTTTTTTTACACGAACTAGATCACTATTTCATAAAATGTAATAAAAAATAATATTTTATTCTTATAATACTTTTTAAGCATGATAATCGGGTCAATTTCATATTGTTGATATTCGACATTAATTCAATCTATTTATTATTTATGTTAATAAATTTATATCAAAAAATAATTTAATTTTATATAAATTTTAAATTTTATTTTTGTATTATATCAAAAATCGTTACCCCTAAACATAACGACGTCGATACCATATCTTGAACAGTATGTGTCAATACGCACCCAAAAAAGTTGCACTGTATAGAAGATAGAAAGAAACACATCCCCACACACACAAACACACATCCCAAATCAAAACAAACTCCAATAAATACTCCTTCAAAATCGACTCCAACGAAGCTTCCTGGAAGCTCACTATGGCCATCACTTCTCCCGCACCATTTAACCTCCTCTCCTTCTTCTCTCCTTCCCCTCAACCACACTCCCTTCCTTCTCTTCTCAACCCTTCACCATATTCTCTCTCTTTTTTCTTTTTCTTCCCTTTCTGGGTACTCAATACCCACGATGAAACTCATCAAGGACATCCCAAAAAAGTTCTTCAAATCCAGGAAAAGCAGGTCAGTTTCAAGATCTGACGAACCATACTCTTTCAGCTCCGGTACGACGTCGTCTGAGTCGTCCGAATCATCATCCTCGAACGACAAGTCCCATGCCAGCTTGAAATCCAACGGCTTAGCCACGCCGACTAGCGTTTTACCCTCTCCTTCGCCGGTCCGCGATGAAGGGCCGGAAATATCGGCCAACTTGTGTTTCGAGTTGGTAGAAGCTTTCAAGTTATCTGACCGTGATGGTGACGGAAAGATAACAACTGTGGAGCTCAAGGCTTTGCTGAGTCGGGTGGGAGCCGAACAGCCGAGTGAGGAGGAGCTGACGATGATGTTGAGTGAAGTGGACCGGGATGGGGATGGGTGTGTTAGTTTGAGGAGTTTAGCGCGATCAGCTCGGCTTTTGGGTCACCTTCTAGTCGCTCGGAGCTCAAGGACGCGTTTGATGTCTTTGACACTGACCACGACGGAAAGATAACGGCGGAGGAACTTTTTAACGTGTTCAACGACAAAGGGGACGGGGGTGCACGTTAGAGGACTGCCGGCGCATGATAAAAGGGGTCGACAAGAATGGGGATGGATTCGTGTGCTTCGAGGACTTTACCCGTATGATGGAGCTGCAGAGATGACTGGTGAATCTTCATCATGATCTCGCCATGATTAAGTCCTTTAAATTTTATTTTTTCTTTTGGCTTTGTTTTTGGGTAATATTTATAGGGGTGTGTCTCTTTAAGGGTGGAGATTAAGTAAAAAAAAAAGAAAAATTTGGGTCGATCACAACGATTGGTCAATTGGACGGCTAAGATTGATCCATGTTGAAGTTGTTTGGAACTGCCGTACATATATGAGAAAAAAATCTTGTGTGGGATTGGTGCATATGAAGTTAAATTTTTTTCATCATTGTTGTAATTTTTCTTTTCTAATTTCCCTTTTATCTTATATAAAATAATTGATGCCAATGATTAGTGCTCTGTTTGGTAAAAAAATAAAAAGTAGGAGGAATACACTTTTTAACCTTTAAAGATAAAAAATGAAGGATATATTTTTCTTTCCTTGTGTTTGGTTAGATGGATGAAAAATAAAAATGACTATTTATTTGTTTATTTTTGTATTGGTTAAGATTAAGGATGACAATCGAGTTGTCTCGTGTTAGATTCGTATTGAGTCATTACGAGTTTGTGTCGAATATTAGTCAAACTTAACTTATTTAACTAATTATATTGTGTTGAGTTGCGAGTTGACATATTTTTTTTCATATTGAATTTGAGTCGTGTTGAGTCGAAAATTTTTATTCTTAGTTAAGATAAAAAAAAAAATTTGATTTTGATTTTTGATTTTTGATTTTTAAAATTTATTTTTAAATTTTTTAATATATATTTTACCATTATATTTTTATATGAAATTAATGTATACATAATATATGTATATATAAAAAGATATACAGACAAATAAGATACATTTTAATACAAATAATTAATTTTTCTTTCAATTTTGGAGGGATTGATTTTAGTGAGTTGGAATGAACGTTAATCTATCTATTTTTTTATCTTTCCTACTTTTCTACTTTCTTTCTTTATCAAACATGATATTTTATTTATCCTTTCAACTTTTCATCTTTCTACTTTTTTATTGTGTCAAATAGAGCGTAAGTATATCTGTGGTTTTCAATTGACGTGTTGATGCAAGGAAATTCGGATGCCAAGATTATCAGATGCCAAGATTATCAATGTTAAAGAAAAGTAGAAGAATATGAGGCGTAAAACTTGGGGGGTCATTTTCAAATATTGACTACATAGAGATTGAGGGTTGGTCTGTCAGTGACACTCCATTGTTTCAGTTAGTAAGGATTTTAAGAAAAAACAAACAAATTGTAGGAAGAGAAGTGCAACCCTGTTTTTAGGATTTCTTTTACGACACTACAAAATGTGATACACCTATTTTTCAGTCAAATTTTCCTTAATTCTTGTTGAACTTAATGTATGTTCTTTAATTTTTAGTCAAACATACTTATATCTTCCTTAATCCTTATTTTTTAGTCAAACATATTTTTTGATTCATATTCTAATATTTATGATAGATATATGATGATTTTACATTCTTTATAATTACATAATTTGTTTTCCAAAAACATTACATGAATTACATTCAAAAATCCTAGATCTTGAATACTATCGAATTGAGAATATTTCTGGACAATCTCTTGCATGTTTGTCTTAGAGTTCCTCCTACTTTTAAAATCGTGGAATTATCATTTGTAATACTTGTGAATTTTATTGAAAATTATGAACATCGTCTTTCGTATTATTGGGTGTGATGAAATTAAATCGCAAGGTGTTTAGACGTATTTTTTTACCTTGAGAGGTTCGAAGATTTCTTATCACTTATAGGAGGCGTTGGTTCCTTGCGAAGCTTCAAATCACTATTTGTTCATAGGGGACTGAGATTGAAGGTTAGTATACCATAATTCTGAGAATGTTTCATCAATGTAGATATGTCGGTATACATACTTCATAAAGTGTTGTGACCCTACAGGGTATTATTAAAAAGGTTGAGTCTTGTGGACCGGATATATTTAGTGCTTGAATTCTTATTTAGTCAACTAGTTTACTTGAGATATATTTTTTATAAAAGTTGATTGTTCTGAATTATTTTACTTTGTTCCACATTTACTTTTTATGAAATCGTAAACTGGAGATCGTTACAGTGTTACATGTTTTATTATAAAAATAAATATATGTTATTTTGTAAATGGAGACCAACTTATTTTATATTTTTATAAAACTTTGTCTAGGTTTAGGAGTGTTTCTTTATTGAGTTTGTTTGTTTTCCCATTCTTTACATTTTTCATATTTTGGTACAGAGGAAAATATCATTATTGGGGGGCAAGTGAAAGTAGAGTTTGAGGCGAATCAAGATGTTGATTCAAATCTCGAGACTTAGAATTCTGCTTATCAAAATGTAGTTCATTTTGTCTACGATGGATGAATGTTATTAATTTTATACTAGTGAGATGAGGGATTTGGTTTATTTAAAGGTTTTGGTTGTAACCTTAATAATTGAATTATGTTTCTTTAGGATTTGTTTAGTTAGATATTGAATGATGGATTGGTTTAATTTATTCAATGGTTTATTTTAGTTATACTCTAATTATTTTGATGGTTATTAGTTAATTTGTGTATATTTGTGAATTTTGGGGCATTACATTTTCCACATACTACTCCAATTGCTCTAGAAGAAAATCTTACACCTTTGAGTGATGATGACATAGAGATTGAGTGTGTGGTTTTCTTTGAGGAAAACGAATAGAGTATATCTTTTTTCTGCAAAACAAATAAACTATCAGAGACTGAGAGTTGAGTAGTCTGAGACACCCCGATGCTTAAATTAGTAAGAATTCTAAGAGTAAGCAAGCAAATTACAAGAAGAGAAGTGCATATATTAGACTTAAGCGCATTCGATATTTATAGAGATTTGCGTTCTACTTTTAAGGTTTTCCTTCACGACTGTACAAGGTCACACACCTATTTTTTTTTTTTACCTAAATCTTTCTTAATTTGTGTTAAAAATCTTTTCAGACTTCTCTGTTTATTAATCAATTATGTATGTCACATGTTTATAATGTGCATCTTCGATTTAGATAATTTTCTTATTGGTTTTTTAACACCAACTCTAATTACTTGGGATTGCTTAGTTATTCCTTAGTTTGGTCTTATCCCATATGAAGGTCGTGTGTCTAGGTAAACACTAGGCGACTGAGCAATTTAGTATCTGGTCAGCTGGGGGCCGAACCTATTCGGATGGTTCGCTTTTGACGCGATGAGAGGTACTTTGCTTTTACCTAGTGATGCCTTTTGTCATGTGCTTTTACTATACGTATATTTGTCACGTAATTTATGACATCTTTTATTTAATGGTCTAATAATGTGCAATCGTTTTGAGCAATTTCAATTGTCAATTAAAATATTAATTATTGTTAATATGTGTAACTATGGTTCATATGTTGCAAAGTTAAAATATAAGTGTTCGATTATAAAATAATTCATCAAATCTAAACAATTTGAGTCATACTTGTAATTTATGTGAACATAAGCTTGGTTTTGTTATATAGGTCTTGCTTTGTTAGGTAAGCAATGTTCAAAGGGGGTGATGCCTAGATTTTTCATTGGTTGTTATTATGGTTTTGTTGTTGTTGTTGTTGTTGTTGTTGTTGAAATTAAAATATTCTAAAAGAAGAAAAAGATCGTTAGTCATACGTGTATAGATCTCTCTTTTGATTAGTGCAACTAAACTTTTGAATATGTCCACTTAATTTAGTTGACGCCTTTAAAGTCACTATTCAAAATGTTGCATGGCATCAGAGTATTTTGTTCGTTTTAGGCTAGTTTCAATTTTAAAACTTGTACAATAAAAGTATAATACACCTCTCACATACTTTACCAAATCATGTTAAATTGGGTAATCACAATCCAGCCGTTTACGACTATACATTGTCGAGTCGTACTCTTCCACGTAATATAACATTCTTGATGATACAGTAGGTATCACCACTCCAAGCTACCAATTTGTCAACCAAGGTGCACAAACTACGGTCCTCAATGCCAATTCGATTTAGCGAGGGTTAAAATGCATCACATAATGAAGATTCAATATAAAGTAGAGTATTTTAATAAAAAAAAGTATTTTATAGAGAAAGTTCAATTTCACATCGATTAGTTTTCTATAAAGATTTGAGTTTTATATATTATACGATGCTACTTTATAATTGAGTTAAACGATACTAAGAATCTCTCACGTCATATAAACAGTCATATTTTTACAGAATATATATTTAGATATTTCAGAATAGATAGATGCACTTTCATATTTTTAATATTCTTTCACCGCATTAGTTTATTGGGTAATACAAAAATGTGTCGTGTAAAACTTTCGCATTATTTGATTGTGTAGACTTGAGTGAAACATAAGTCAATTAAGTTAGACTGTTGTATCCTGAGAACAACACGTTATTATCTTCTGCACTTTGTTTCTTTTATATAAAGACACGAATCGTCTTAAAAGAGTGACTTAATTCACGTCTCACCCTACCGTTTATTTTCTTTCAAATTCATACATACTTTATCAATTCATATAAGAAATTTTTTTTTTGGGTCAAAAACAGTGTAAGGTTAGCTGTGTTGAAAATCGTACTTGCCATTTTTATTGCACCGCATTAGCGGAGAAAAAACGGTTGCTTGTGAACTTGGTTCATGCATCATGTTCCTGTCCTAGCTGTTATTGCATGGTAAATGCATGTAACCTAACAGTTCCAATTTTCAACTCTGTTGGATTGCCAACAGAAGTAAATGCGGGAGTACCAACATTCATTGTTTTCCCACTGCTTTTTTTTGTTTTGTTTGTTTTGTTCTTTTTTTTTTTTTTTTTATAATTTCTGAGTCTCTTCACAGAGAAAAAAGAAGGTGAAACCTCATAAATAACAATGAAAACTGTTAACCAACACCGGTAGCATAGCAGTGTAGAGATGACTTTAGCACAAATCGTAGACTCTGCGTTAACTTTTAACAAATGTGCTGCCCAACCAAATTTCCCACCTGACCAAGACGATACTTGGGTCCAAAAGAAGGGGCAGTGCTATTTCACTTTCGCCGTTTC